CAACATAACGCCACAAAAAAATCGAAAATCGAATATACGTAACCAGCGGCAATTCAAAATTCGCGATACTTTTTGAACAGTCTTCGTATATATATTATCACAATTCGCGTCGGTTGCGGGACTTCTTTGCTCCCGCATTCCCGCGGCTAGCTCAGTTTTTAATTGTCTAATAGCGAATCGAATCCCTCGCTGTTCCGCGTGGTAGAGCGTCGTGGTTCTTACACGTTCTTCCTCGATTCCGCGGACACGTCGGAGAGAAGCCGGGAGAGATAATAACTTAGAGACCGGTTTAACATTTAAATGACAATACTTTAATTCGTTTCAATTCCAATTTCAGACAACTAATCCATTCTATAAATAATAAATCCTAAACGAACGTGACATAGGAATACAATTCTTTAATTAGCCTGTATTCTTCAAGTACAGGCAACTAAATTCAATATCACCGAAAATTCCGTAACGTGATCAAAAGAGAGCGATCTCTCGCCTGCGATGTTCCGCGAGATGTTGTTTTTATGCGGCAAATCCGAGCCGCTTGACGGCAGCTATAATAACGCGCGTCGTTTTAACCGAAAAGTTCTCTTGCCCGGCGTCGTTGCGCGAATCTCGCCGTGTTTTCCGTTAGGCGCCAGCCGGGTCTTTCCCGACAATAGTTACTGCTTCTGACCGGTCAGGTACAATATCCGATCTAGCTCGTTCACTAGAAGCAGTTTCCACAAATAACATACGAGCTCATAATACGACTCAATATTCAATGTACAATACAATATCGACAACACTTTACCAAGGATTGTGCGACCGGCAATTAGAGAAGGCAACCGAGTCCCGCGCTCGAGTCTTCGGGATCCCTATGCTCGAGAGCACGGTCCTTGTCACCCTGCGACGTGGCCTCCAAATCTCGTAAGTCCGTACGACCCAACCTTCAGGGCGCCACAGACTTCCAACGAGTTCCAATTCCCGGTCCTCCTATCGCGCCTATGCTGCCGAGAAGCGACGGCAACTAACTCGGAATTACAACGCAACTCTAATGCTTTTCCTACCCATGGCTGTACAAAGGATTGCTTTTTCACCCATTCGCCACCAGAAGCTCGCCTCTCCTCCTCGGGATATCGTCCCTCTGGTCCGGCAGCTTCTCTCGCTCGCTATCGCGTTGAGACGTCTAGTTTGCTCGCCGTCAGGCCGCACAGTGACGAGTAATGCCCGTCACTTAGCACAGGAGGCAGCCGATGCACGGATCCGCCGATTGATGCAGCATCCGATTAGTTCTCCCGGGTAAATCACGCAAATAGGGTGCTCGCGGGAACCTCACGTCTGGTGTTGTTACTTCGACACTTGTTTATCCTTGTTTTCTCTCGGGACGACATTCGGCAACTATTGGGTTCGCAGTAATTCGAGGGAATCCTGGGCGCTCTTCTGCGGGATCCTCCCTCGCATGCTCTGCGACTGGATCGCGGGGCTTTGCGCCTTTCTTAGTGCAAGGTGGCCGTCCCCGCTGTCCGTCACCAGCTATCCGTCCGAGAAAGGAAGATCTCCCCGTCCTTCCGCGTGTCGCTCTAGCCGCTCTTTCTGCGCCTTTGCTCTCGTACGTCCTTGGCTCCTCCCGGCAGCTCCGATTCCTTCCAGTCTTCTTTTGTCTGGTACTGGCTTATTGGGGATGATCTTACACTCAAACAAAATATACTAGCCGCGGGTTGTGTCTCGTGCACTAACGGTGCACAACAGAAAAATTAATAAATTCGGTCGCCTTCTCTCATGAGAAGACGCGAGTTTCCGGCTCATCCTTGGCCAGGCTACGGCCTGAATGACGAGCAAAAATTTACATTATCACAATATATATATATATTTAACAGTGCCCGTCACTTAGCGCAGGAGGCAGCCGTTGCACGGATTCGTCACGCCGATCGATGCAGCATCCGGATATATATTAGTAATACAAATAAGTTTCCGCCGTTTTCAAAAGATGGCTCCACCGACAAAATTACTTTGAAATCGTCAGATGTAAAACATCATATAGAAAGTTTGGACACCTGGCAACAACATAACCTTAAAATACTATTGACTTTGTATTGGCAGTGTACATTTTTTTCGTTCGAAAATGTCGAGTTTTGTACCGAATAAGCGTCATTTGCGGGAAGTTTTGATTTATTTCTTTCATTTAAAGAAATCTGCTGCTAAGGCGCATCGGTCGCTTGTAGAAGTTTACGGTGATGCTGCTTTAAGTGAGAGAAGTTGTCGGCCTACATGTGCGAGGTGTATCTTTAACATCAAAAATACTTGAACGGAATCGACGAAACCAAAATTGAACGTAATTGGCTGTTACAGTATCGGCACCATAAATACCATTCACAATTACAGCCGCCTGGCTTGCATTTTAGCCTTTATCAAAGAAAAACTGTAAAATGTACCGAATTTTTTTTTTGTTCACTTCCATTTTTAACACCCTGTAATTCACAACTGAATGGACCAAACAAAAAACAACACAAGAATTTTTTTTAGTGCGAAATGTCACCTTTTCTACAAGCATAAATTTGAAATTGTTTGATCTATACTTTACGAGATATCGATCACTACAGCCATCTACCAAAAAAATAATTGATTTCTTTTTCCGCAACCTAATATTATAGCAAATGTATAATATATAGATATACATTGACAATAATTCCAAGTTACAGTGCGAATTCTTGAATTGAATTTGAACCGAGATTTTATTTAACACTTGCTCAAGTTTGTCATCTTTGTACTTTTTTAATTAACTGGCGTTTTCTTGATTTGATTTTTACCTCGAAATATCTAATACCATTTTTCACACGTTTTATTAATCGTTTTATTAATAGCACCTTCGCCCAAAAGAAGAAATTTTAGCAGTGTCTTTTTTTATTTGAAATGCGAAAATAATGCAGTACATCAAATGCTGCTTTCCGTGTGCCATTATATTCTTACTGTTTACATTATTGTTAACATGTTGTTACATTACTATTTTGTGACATTATGTCATCTATTTCGCCAAAGCTTATGGTGTTTTGAAAACGTAGAGGACCACATTAACTAACTATAGAATAATGAGAAAATATTTAATTTCAAAATGGAATTATAGGGCCTAATTAATATCTAATAAAACATATGTAATAATTTCCGAAACTGAAAATCCAAAAAAACATAACATAATAGCGATTTAGAACTTTTAATTTCAAATTTGACATTGAATTCAATGCAGCTGCTTAAAAAGGATTCCCAGAATGAAAGTAAAAAAAGTATAAAATTTGAAAAAAATATTTCATTTGATTTTTGAATTAGCATAATGTGCCCTATATGAACTTGTTTCCAACGTTTTGTGAACATTTCAGTTTACTTCTTCAGGTTGAGAAACGATCGAAAAGGGTTTTGTGAGCAATTTATTCCACTTTTTTAGGGTAAAACTGGTTTAGTAGTTTCTTATCTTAAAGAAATAAACTGAAATATATAATATATTCATGAAACGTTGAAAGTAAGTCCATGAATGACGTGAAAATGACTTGTTAAAAAAATTGTATATTTACTCAAACGATGAAAGTCTAAAATATCAAATTTGAAAAAATGTGTGTTTCAGTTAGTTTAACATTTCTTGAAAATTTGTTACAACGGAGCTAAAATAGCTGTTGTGTAGTTATATTTTATGTTTATTATGATTATTTTTCAAATTGTTGCATGCATCCTAGTGTGCTTATGCAGGCGCGTACATGCGTATACACATACGCAAATATATATATTTATGTAGCAAGAATTATTTGAAACAAATGTTTTTTATATTGTGAATTAATTGTAAGTTTTCTTTTAATTTATTATAACTGCATTCTTGTAATTCATTTCTTCAAAATAGTATACTTTAAAATCATTTCTTTAATGTAGACGCCTTTATCATCGTATTAAGTTTCTTATTGTTAGTAAACATTTTTGCTTTTATCATCGTATTAAGTTTCTTATTGTTAATAACAATTTTCATATGCGAAATTAAATGTTAATACTAATGGTGAAATATTTTTTGTACAGTTATGCAAAAAATATGGGAAAATTATCTCGTGAATTTCGAGATCGACCAGTGCCTCCGTTAGACTTAGCAATTTGGAGCATCGAATACACAGCCCGCCATCCAAAAGGAACTTTAGCATCGCCAATTAGATCTCAAAGTTGGATACAACAGAAACTGATCGATATCTATGCGTTTTTATTATTCTGTCTCATCATAACTATATTTATTATATGCCTTACATTCAAGACATTATTTAATTTTTATTACCGTCATATGTACACAGCGCCTAAATCGTATAAGAGCAAACAGATATAAGTGGCATAATTATTAAACACAGGAATTATATAAAAAATCATTTGTAATTATTAAATTGAAAAGGGATTAAGAAGGAATTAAAAAAAAAAATATATATATATATATATATATACACGAGTTTTTATTTCAATTTTATTATTATTCCTCCAATTATCATCGAACTGTGCGTGTATAAAGTACATATTTTAAGAAAGTGCATTCTGGTAGCCTGAATGACATAACCGCAGAAAAGTTAAAAAATTAAAGATTCGTTTATCTGCTTATATTTTCATATGTATTTTTATATGTACGTTTGTCTACTTATATTTTTATATTTTTATATGTATGGAGCTTCTACATAGCTTTTAACTTCAGAGCACATATATATTTTGTACCAAAGTCGTATACTTCGTAAATACCAAAAAATATCAAAGTATATATTTCAAAACACAATACTGAAACAGTAAAAGCAAGTATACAAGCGTAAATTAAAACTACATGTAAAAATTAAAATATTTTATACGTCTTTGAGCACGAGTGTGGAATGGCAGACAGTGCATTGGTCTACTATATTAGCGGTCCCGGGTTCAATCCCGGCAGAAACCAAAATATTTAACTTAAATATTTACACTCATGTCTCCTCTCGGAAGGCAATGGCAAATCACCGAGAGTATTCTTGCCAAAATAACCTCTCTAAAAATTTATCATTCGGAACCGGCGTTATACAGTAGATTCTATATGCTTTGTGTATAATCAATGTGCGCACCACAGATATATGACAGGTCACGTCCTCCACACATAAGGAATCAACAATAGAGAGAGATACAGCTTCGAAAAGTAGGCAAACGACAAGAAATTAATTCGGAAATTAAATACTGCATATTCGTCTGTATAAAACTTCCTTTAAAGATTTCTAAAAAAACTATATATATATATATATATATATATATTGGGAGTGTGAATAAGTTATCGCCGTTTTTTGTGAAAATAAATCCTTTATTTAAAAAAAATAATAAAAAAACAAGTCAATTAAAGTATTGCCCATTGCTGGAGACTACTTTTAACTATCTTTCTGGCAGCATTAGAATTCCAAGTCAAAAAAACGACATTTCCTTTGCGGCTATCCACGAATCGATCCATTTTTTCGTTTCTTCATGCGAAGTGAAGTGCTGTTCAGCCAGGCCGTTAGTCATCGATCGAAATAAATAGTAATCAGAATGCGCAATGTCTGGAGAGTACGGCGGGTGGGATAGGACTTCCCATTTCAGCGTTTCCAGGTATGTTTTGACCGGTGACGCGACATGCGGCCGAGCGTTATAATGCAGCAAAATCACCTTATTGTGTCTTTGCACATATTGCGGCCGTTTTTCTTTCAATGCTCTGCTCAAACGCATCAATTGTCGTCGATAGAGATCTCCTGTGATGGTTTGGTTGAGTTGGAGCAGCTCGTAATATACTACCCCCAGCTGATCCCACCAAATGCATAGCATGAGCTTGGAACCGTGGATATTCCGCTTTGGCGTTGATGCTACTGCTTCGCCGGGCTTAACNGGAAAATGTTCTTTATAGGTTAATAGAAAGACACGCACTGATTTTAACACTTTACCGACCGGTAGCGGTTCGAACATCCTATGCCCTTCTCACTGGTCACTCAGCCGCAGATCATCCGAGACACCGGCTCGGTTTCGGCTTAGACTGCCGCGCGGGAATATATGCGCTTTTCTTATGCTCCGGTAAAATTGTACGCTTCGTGTTATTATAGGGTAACCAAATTTAATAAAATTTTTTACTTTAATGATATTAGTGTTAAACAATATTTATTTTATCTATTACAATCGTTTTCAGTATAATATTTACATAAAATATACCATAATCCATATGACAATATTTGTCGAAAAAAGATTTAAAATTAAAAAAGTTTNAAAAGTATGATACCGCTCGAAACAGTCACCTTTGTGTAGTGGAACGTTGCAAAATTTACAGACGAAACCTGTTCTGCTTTGTTTTTTTTTACTTGAACAAACTCTGCATTGTCTTAGTGGTTTTTTACATCGACCGCTGGTCACTATATTTACCAGTTTATGCTTTCCGAAATTTGCCAGTCTTCCGGGATGATCAAATCGGGATGTGGTTCTTGTGGATTCGGAATTAGGTAGATCTTTATCTTGTTCTTTAGCTTCGCAATCTTCTATCCATGAAAGTGCCGCTTTGTGCAGAAAATTTTTATATATAATCTTCTGTCCGTTCAGAGTTATATATACTTTAAAGGAATTAAAAAGTGCACAGTTGATAAAGAACATTACGACACGTTTCGTCCATTTTTTTGTTTTCCTAAAAATGGAGTAATAGGACAGATATTGATCTGCGCGATCTACGCTCTTCATATATTTATTGTAATCTATTATTGAAATAGGCTTCTGTATGAGGCAATCTGATGTCCTACTTCTGCTTCTAGATTCCGCCATTTGTGCAAAATGTATTGTCGAGATTATATGTACGTTCCTTTTGCCATTATTCCATACTTATAATAGAATATGGCCATTTCTACGAAATTGATGCTGGCCTCTTGAAAGTTTGGCCGTTTGAAGTGGTTAAGGAAGACCTCTGTTCCTTCGAATTGTCCCGCACACTAGCAATTTATTTTTTAAAAGAATTTTAGCCATGTTGACACTATTGTAATAATTATCTTGATATATATGGTGCCACATGTTCTTATACGGTCCAATGACCGATAATACAGTCTCTTCTAATTTCTTTCCATCAGCAGCATACACACAAAAGTTAGATACGTATCCTGTACGAGCTTCAGACAGCACTCTGACCAGTATTCCGTATTTTGTGATTTTTGCGGGATTATATGTTTTGATTGAAAGTCTACCTCTCCACGGAATTATACACTCATCCAGAGACAATTGTTGATCTGGTTTATATACATTGTTAAATTTTTGCTTTAAATAATTGGTGACAGGCTGGACTTTCACAAGCCTATGCGAATTGGGAGAAATGTGGTTATTGTTACAAAAATGCCAGCTTTGCATTATTTGTAAAAATCTGTTTCTGCTCATAACTTTCGAGAAGAATGGCGTTTCTATAGTTGGGTCTGTGGACCAATAATCGTAGAGAACGTCCTTCTTTACTTGTCCCATAAGAACGATCAGGCCCAAAAATTCCTTCATTTCAGACACCGTGATGTCAGTCCATTTTTTCGTTTTTGGTGTAATTCTATATTTTTCCATAATTTGATCATGATACCTATTAGACTCCCTCACGAAGTGCTCAATCAGATTACTTCCAATAAATAAATTCACAATATCTATTACGCTTTCATAGGAACTTGGCATAATTTTTACGCCGGGGCTGCTTTCGACAGGTTCCAAAATTATATTCTTGTCGTTCGTTGACCATGTACCACTGCTGTCTTCAACGTTATTATTTATGTCCTTGTCTTCTGAATCACTGTATATTAGTGGTACAGAACGTCGCTTTCGAATCGTTATACTACTGCTATCACTTTCGTCATCAGTACTACTTGCTGAACAGCAGTGAAGACAATCTGACAGGTCGTCGAGATAAAACTCACCAACACTATCCTTTTCATTCATCTTTAAGGGCTAAATTTTAGAGAAAAACAACGATTATCTGAATACAGAATTTGAAATGCTTGCTGCTTGCTACTTGTCAGTCTAACCTAACTAAATCTAACGGAAAAAACAAAAGTCGATTAATCGACGACCGGTTGGTAAGCGCTGTGGAATAAAAGTCGAATAATCGACGGCCGGTCGGTAAGCGCTGAAAACAAAACGTCGATTAATCGACGGCCGGTCGGTAAAGTGTTAAACATATTGTAGATTATAGAACTTCAATATAGATGCGTCATTATTTTTAATTATACACAGAAAATTTTTATACCGCCATCTGGTGGTGAAACGGCGAGAACTTATTCACACTCCCAATATATATATATATATATATACAGGGTGCGTTAGGTATTTGAGGACATATTGACTTAAAAACTAAAATTTGTATATTTTTTAGAAAACTTGTTTTATTTAATGAAACTTTTACATCAAAGTAAGTGGCCCATGGGCTATACAGTTATTCGATAAAATGTCCTTCAGCGGCAATAACAGCTTCAATTCTCTGCCGAAAACGTTTACATGCTCGAATCAAATGATCCTCGTCCATATGCGTCATTACTCTGAGCTCTAATAGCTGCTCTGAGAGAATCAAGCGTATTATGGGAATGTTTATTGGTCTCCCATTCAACAACGCCCCATACATAATAATCTAAAGGATTAAGATCCGGGGAGCTAGGAGGCCACATGTTTGGGGTTATGTGATCATGCAGATTCTCGGACATCCAATCTTGCGTTCTCATTGCTTTGTGTAAAGGAGCAGAGTCCTGTTGGAATACATATGCCTTCCCACCACTGACGCTGTCTATCCAAGGCTTCATAACTGTTTTCAAAGCCTCAACATAGGCGGCGGCATTCACCCGAAGTCCTTGAGGAAAGAAATGGGGTGGTATGACGTGTCCCTCATTGCTCACCACCCCCAAAACCATGACAGTTGCCGGAAACTTTGTGTGCATAACACGAGGAACATCTGAAGGATCTGCACAGAGCCATCTATCATTTCGTCGGTTTATTTTTTGATCCTGATCAAAATTTTTTTTATCAGAAAAAAACCAGAGCATATCCGAGATTTCAGGATGTTTTAACTTGTTTAGGAGTCGTTGTGTCCGAATGAATCGCTGTTCTCGAGTTTGTGCAGACATGAACTGACCTCTACGCATCGCGTAAGACTTGTACCGGATGTCTTCGTGGATAATGCGACGAATTGTGCACTAAGAAACTTGGAAATCTTTCGATATTGCTCTTATNATGCCCTGAACTTTCTGCACAAACTGTGATGTTCTAACTTTATCAGAATGTGCTTAATGTTTTTCACGCTTGGCAACACTTTCCACATTGCCATCAGATGCTTTTAATACTCGACGAACTTTGTTAACAAAAGATCGGGCGACTTTCAAAAATCGCGAGATTTCAAGATCGCTGTGATTCGCGTGTATAGCGACGATA